TTAAGGTAAGAACTATGATAGCTGTTTTCAGGAAATTATATTTCTCTACAGAATCACAAAGTCACAGAGTCACAGAATCACTGAGTTTGGAAGAGCCCCTGGAGGTCATCTGGCCCAAGATCCTGCTCTAGCAAGGTCATCTAGAGCTGGTTGCCCAGAACTGTGTCCAGACAATTTTTGACTATTTTCAAGCATGTAGATTTCACAACTTCTTTGTGCTGGTATTTGGTCACCCTCACAACTGAAAAGTGTTTCCTGATGTTCAGACAGAAATTCTGGTTCCATTTGTGCTCATTGCTGCTTGCTTTGTCACTGGAGATCATTTCATTTACACCCTGCCTTCAGGTATTTATACACATTGATGCGATCCTCCAAGCCTTCTCTTCTCCAGGTTATATGCCCCCAGCTATCTCAGCTTTTTCTCATGGGAGATGAAGCTCTTAATTATCTTAGTGGCCCTCAGCATATTAGTAGCTACCTCAGGATCCACGGGTGCAAACGCACCAGAGCCTATGTACTTATCTCTTTTTTTTTTTTTTTTTTCCTTCAGGTTTACATTGCCTGTGCTTCTTCAGCTAAAGTCAGGTTTCTAGTCATCTTTTATTTCATTCTGCTCTGCCTGCATCTCTTGCATAGGCATCCACGCTCAGAAATTACTTCTTACAGCAAAAATTTATTTACCCTCATAATTCAGACTTCAGACTGATCTTGCACTTTTTTTTGACTTGGGTCATGGCACACATCTGCTTTGATATGGAGGACAGCACGTTTAATAGAAGAGTTTGACTGTTTATTACAACAATCATAAATCAAAACTGAATTTTAAGCTCACTGACCTAGGTGACAATTCATCTATCAGAGTGCTTCTCTTTTGTGTGTCTATGATACCTGTTCATAAAAGAACTCATTTTCTGAGCCCAGTAAATGATGAATCTGTAACCTTGTAAAAGAAAGAGCTAAACAATCTCCTGAAAGCTACATGAATAATGACTTGTCATGGATAACAAGTAGCGTAGCATGAAAATATAGCACTAGTAACAAACACAAGAATTAAAAAATTTAAATTTAAGCCTAGAAAAATGAAATTGTTTCAGAAAAAGTTATAGTACTTCTAAATTTTTCACCCTTAAGGCCTGTGTTTTCAGACTCGCTACACATTTATTTGAATATATGCAGTAATGTAATGGCTCATAATGATCTTTCCATTCTTTAAAAAATAAAAGGTCTGAGTCAAGATCTAGACTTGCATTAGTGAAGGGGCCCAACAGCATTAACCAAGAAGTACTAACCTTAAATAGTAAAACCATGCTGGTCTCTCTAAATGCAAGCACTGTCAAGTTACTGTCTCAACACAGCACTTCAGATAACAGAATGCTGGCATTTACATGTTTTTGAATTCATATAATGAGAATCTTCTGTCCCTGTAAAATTAAACAACCTCTTTATAAGCCTGTCTAGTATAGTAGTTTGCTGTGCACAGTTAAATAATTTCTCATGCATACTCATTCCAAACTGAAGAGATGTTCCATAGCAATGCTACAGAATGTACAGAATGTTCTTTACACACTTACATGTAATATCCTTATGACAGAAGTAAACAAATTAAAAATAGTTGTGGTACTGTTCAGCTTCAATAAAGAGAATTAGAGAAATATGAATAAACTTGTTAAAATGCAAAAAGGGGCAGACAAGAAAGCTACCTTGTATGTCCCATGGTGAATCTTTAGGGTCACCAAACTGCAAGTGCATATTTACTAAATAATGGTTCAGGAAGGGCATAAGAAAGCCAGTGTTGTTAATACAGAGATAAGGTCAGTCAGCAAAATCAAGAAATTATACTTCAAAAAGTTAATGTCATGTTTTAGAGGAGAATATAAAGTTTTCTTCTGAATGCTAGCAGACTAAATGTAAAATACAGTAAAACAAGCTCAAAAGCAGTAGAGGAACAATTTGTGCAAAATAGAAACTAACAATCCCATTTCAAATGCAACAAAACAAGGAATGCTACCAGAGTCTATAAGGCTAGTAGATAAATCAGCATATAAAAGGAGCATGTAGAGAAGATAAAGCCATAACCCCAGACTGAATGATGTTCTGTTTCTATGCTGTGTTGTAGAAGAGCTTGGAGAGGTTCTCAGGTTTATACTCTTCATGGACAGATAAATCCAACTTGAGAAAAATAACCAATCAAAATCTTACTTACTTGTTGATTGCTATAGCAGAACTGGTGACTGTTGTGTACTTCTCAATCAACACCCTTTTGTACCAGAGGAGTAATTAATATTATGCTAATATTTAACAGATATTCTAGGGAAAAAAAATTAAGGAATTTCCAATGATAGAGATTACAGAATCCAAAATAAAAGACTGCAGTTTCAGCTCTGATAACTGTAGCAGGTACATTAGTAGAAACTATTATAAAGAATAAAATTAATGAATGCATTCTCTTTGGAGGAAGAATCAAAACTGCTTTTTTGAAAGACAGATGTTCCTTATGTTTTTGAAGTCTTCTGAAGCTGCCAACAGAATTTAAATATAGTTTACTTGGGTTTTCAAACCAGCCTTTAGCACAGCTTTATTATGCAAAAGCATAGAGTAGAAAGAAAGCAGGTTTTCACACATCCAGAAGGAAACTTGCAAAAACCATTGCCAAGAGGTTGGGGAGGCACACAGGATTATACAGATTTAGGAGGCAAATGCCTGTAAACATATATCAAAGGAAACAGTCCTTTTACAGATGTCCCCTGACATGACAAATGTGGGTGCCAGAGGAAACTACTGAGAGGGTTAGATCATAGAAGGCAGCAAGGTTCATGTGCTCTCTCTAAATATCATCTCATGCTCTCACTGATGAACACAGTATGCTGGGCCAAATGGACCATCAGGGTGGTTTTTTATGTTCCTATTTGGACATGGTGGCACATATGTGCACACAAATCTTAGGGTTCTCCCTACTCTAAAGCAAGTTGTGGCAAAAAAACCCCTAATGCACCGATCTAGTCTGGAAATCAAAATGCACAGGGAACAGATTTTACTGAGCTGACAGTTCATTGCACTGGTAAATTAGCAACCTTCCCTGTTGGGAGTGGTGGGATTTTGATGGTTTGGATCTTTTTCAGCAAAGACATACACTATACAGGAATCTTGGCATACATGCCTGCTTACATGTTTTCTGTAACAGTCTTTAGTATCTCACTTTTTATACCAAGCAAGTCTCAGCTTGATGAGGATGAGAAAGCTGCGTATTAATCATCAGCATAAAGCTTTTTTCATATGCATATGTGAAAGAGTTACAATATTTGTATAATGCTGCAGCTGACAATATAGCTGTATGCAGACAGATGTCTGAAGTACTGGAAGCATCTGCTTCCTTCTGTTACAACATTAAACCAATACAGACATAGATAGCATGCGCTGCTTGCTGCCTAGCTACTTTCTCAGTTGGTGTATACATGGTCTTTAGAATCAGTGGATGTGCCCAGTACCATCCATATCAGGTGTTGGCATCAGTTCCCATTGGAACATTGTGTTAGTAGCAAGCCAGATGTGCTCACAGTCAGCCCAGATGCAAATACACTTCTCATATATGTACCGGTCACATCCAGGACCCATTCCTTACCCCCTCATCCACTCTGTGATGACCTTAGAGAGGCTACTAGGGCAGGAAAAGAAATTTGCTCATGGATGAATTCTGTTGAGTCTGTGGAGCACCAAGCCCACTGCCACCCTCAGAGACCTCAGGAAAATTCAGAGCCTGTCTCCCAGAGACCACCATAAGCAGGAGACTTAAGCATAAGACTGAATAGAAGCCCTGACTCTCACCCTGTCAACACAAACTGACCATGCTGCAGAGGAAAGGCCAGGACAATGGCCAGGCATTGGAAGCCAGAGAAGACTTAATTCTTTGCTAATTATTCACTAATGCTTCAGTTCACAGTGAAGTAAAGTGTATAATTAAATTCCTGTTCTGTGTCTCACCTCCCTTCAGCTGAGGATAACGCCTCTTACGAATGACCAGAAAGACACATAGGCCAGCAGCCCGGGCTGCTGATGGATGCTGCCAATGTAAAGGGCCTGGCTTACTCCTGAAGTGTGTTGTAATCATATGCCATTCAAGCATGCCTGATTAATTGTGAGTAAATGAAACAGTCCTGCAAGACAGGAATGAAGGTGGACAGCATGGATTGTCATCCATGCCTTATTACTGTGCTCAAAGGCCAATGGTCACTGCCTGGAATGGATCCCAGACGCAATATGCACATACATGTATTAAAAAATCCAACGCACTGCATTTACCTTGGTCTTGAGTGCACACCTACAGGCGAATTGCAGTCAAATATTCCAGTGATTCTTGGACTACTGCAAGTTCTGCCCAAGTTTCAGAAGGCCAGGTGACATTTCCTGTGATCATTCACAGAACTCTATACCTTTTCTCTCTTCCACGTCAGCACTCCAATATTTGGTCGTTTTTACTGCACACAAGGGTAATGGATACAACATGTGGGAACGAGGAGATGCGTGGCCTAAGGAAACAAGAAAAACTCAAGAGGCAGGAATGGAGATGCCTCCCAAGTAAGAACCGGCTAACACGCCTTCTCCCAGCTGGTAAGCCAGGTGCCGTCTCCTCGGAAGAGGAACAGCGTCGCTGCTTTGCCAGGGCAACAACTTTTGTTTCTGCTCTCCGCGATCGTTTATCTGACGTGTTTGTAAACACCAGCGCGTGTTTACAAACAAAAGGTTTAGAGTTTACCAACTTTAATAAACGCCACAGCAGGTCACCTGCCACCGCCACCCATCCCCCGCACAGGCCCTCCGGCCTCCCCGCACGGCGGGGTCCGCCCTTCCCTCTCCGCTGCCGGCGCCGCCGCCGCAAAGCCTCTCGGGGGCTGGAGTCCCGTACCCCGCCTGTCCCATGGTGGGACTGCGCCTTGTGGACTCCCTGTCCCACACAGCCTTGCGGGGGACCCGGCACCCGCACGGAGGCTGCGGCGGCGGGCGGCAGGGCGGCTAGTTCAAGTTGCCATAGCGGCGAGGTGAGGCGGGCGGTGCCCGGGGAACGGGGAGGCATCGCCTCGGGGTGCTGTGCGGTGAGGGCGGGGGATGCGGGACGGGCAGAGTCGGGGCTGCGACCGGGGCGGCTGTGCTGGACGCGGCTGTGCGGGACGCGGCTGTGCGGGACGCGGCTGTGCGGGTGCGGAGCGCCGCGGGAGTGCGGGCGCGGGCTGGAGCGGCGAGAGGCGCGGGGAGCGGGGCCGCGGGGGGCTCCTCGGGACAGCCCGGGACAGCCTGGGGGCCTGGCGGGGTCCCGGCTGCCGGCGTGCCCGGAACCGTGCTGGGCTGCCCCGCGGCCCCAAGGCTTCCACGGTCCTGTCTGGGCAAAAGAACCATGAGGCGCTCAGAGGTGAAGTCAGGTGTGAGCGAGGTTCCCGACGTGGCCGGCGGGAGGAGGATTTGCAGAGGGCATTAGTCGAGCTTGCTCATGAACAGTGTGAAGGAACAGTTTTCTGTGTCGTGGTGCTGAGGAGTGGAGTGTGGTGTCAAAATTTGATAATAAAATGTGGTAGAGATACCTGAAAGCAGGATGGCAAACTGTCACCATGGGGATCACCTTCCCGGCTTTTTGAAAACTTCTCCTGGCTCAAATATAAGCACTGAAGGAAAGGGCCTTTCAGGTGTTATGTTGTCCCTCAGTCTTAGCTATAAGGCTTCAAACATACCTTTTTAACAGTAAGTTAGTTACATAGTGATGTATTAGTCTGTGTAGAGGTGGACAAATAAAAACACTTGAGGAGTAATCGGTTGAGACTGTCAGGTCTGCTTCGTGTTTGTTCTACCCTGCAGATCTCTTTAACAAGAGTGTCCTCAGTGAAAATGACACAGGAAAGGAAAGTATCAAGTATTGATGCTTTTCATCAGTTCAAGAAAAGTTATGATCTGTTTGTGTAGAACTAAAACACAGTAGGTTGTATGATTATGTACTAAAATTAGTCAAGGTTTTTGGAAAAAGTGCTAAGTAAGTTTGTTTGTTTGTTTGTTTTTGTTTAAATAAATAGGCAAATGTACATATGGAACATTTGTACAAATTTCTATTTCTTTATGATTTTTTTTTAAGTTTAAAACGAAACTTCTATATTTCCTTTAAAAATGAGGATGTTTCTTTATATGAAACAGAACTTCATCATTTTAAAAGTACTTGTGGTTCCTTTTAGGTTGCTCATAAGAATAAAAAGGAATGCTACTTAATCACAAATAGTAAGTTTTCTTCAGACAAAATGTCCTCCTTGTTTAGTGCTTTCTTTTATATTTACCTTACCTACTGACCTTTCTTCAGTGCTTTACCTAGTAAGTATCTTAATGAACTTATTTTTGGACAGCTGAAAATGAACCAAATAATCTTTCCTGTTGTAAATCTTAATTTCCCTTTTTTTTTTCTCTAGTGTCTTTGCTTTTCAGTAGTTACGTCTCTTATTGTTGAGTCAACTTGTTTGTTCATTTTTGTAATTTTTTTTTAACCAATTCATGGTATAAATCAATATTACTCCAGGTTGTTATTTCTATCGGTGTTTTATTTATTTTAGTTTTCTTTGTCTTTGAAAATATCCTATATTTCCTGTTTCCCAGTGTTTAGTATTTATGCTTACTCAGCAGCATTAAGATTTCTTTGCAGCTGACTAGAGTGAGAGGCACTGGAATAGTGAATTCTGATACTGTCAGTAAAAATGTGCTTTAGTGCCATAAGAGGATGGAAGATAAGATAAATTCACCACTTCAGAAAATGTAAGGAATACTGGTGAACTTGAGCATAGACTGAGCACATTGATTTACTCTTCTTTCATGTTTGAAAGGTTTCTGTCCAAGTCAGGGGAGACAGAAATAAACAAACTTTTAAAAACTAAATATAAGGATCTGGAAAAAATTGCCTCCATATAAAATACAGCATAAAATTTGAGTCCATCCATGGTTTCTTTTGGAAATTTCAGCTCTAATGGCTAGAAGAATGATTCCTTTACTTTCTTTTTGGAAATGTTGTTGACAATGGGACTAAAGGTGTTTCAGGAGTACAGCGGTCTGTTTCCTCTTCCCTCAAGTAGCCCCAGACTGTCTCCCAACAGATGATATTAACACAGATTTTGTGAATATGATTCCATGACCTTTAGACAAACTACTGCAGTGTGTAGTAGTCTAAGAAAATATTTCTATCTAACCTACCTTTTGAGGTTTGTTATTTTAAACTGTTACTGTGTGACTTTACTATACTAGGCATAGCTGTTTGCATTTCCCTCCTCTATCTTGCCATACTCGAGACTTATTCATCCCTATTCTTTCCTTACAAGCTGTATTTCTACTGCCTTTGAATTCTAGTCAAGTGAAGTGCCTCAGCATCAAGATAGTAATCTGGGTTATGTCAAATTAACATTGGAGAATAGAAATAATATTTCACAATTTACATTACCCTAATTTTTACAATTTGTGTGGTGTTAGCTTTTTCTTTCTGGAAGATGATGCTGTTGATGTGTATTCATTTAGAAGCCTTCCCCACCTCTTTCTTCTACCAACTTTAGTTTTTCTAGCTGTATTTGTCCAGTGCAGCTTTATTTGTGTCAGCTGCAGACTTATTAAGTGACCTAATAACGTAATATAATGAAAAGATACAGTGGATTCACTCTTGGTTCTTGCTTGATACCTCTGCGATTTGTCACTTAATTTTTGTTAATTGCTCTATGAGTTCTGATAACTATCCAGTTTTATGAAGGCTTATTTTAGTTCATTTTTCTTTAGCTTACTTTTGTGATTGTCCTATGTGTTCAAGACTTAAAAAAACAAACAAATGAAAACACTATCTCTACTGCTTCTTCCTTGTTTAACAAATTTAGTTACTCATTATCAGACTGATTTATTTAATGTCAACACATACACTGTTGTGTTTTTTTTTGAGAACAGATATTTTGTTGGGAACTTAAAATAGCCCATTTTAATTTTTTCCACATATTTAAATTGATTATTCTGTAACTTCCTGGCCACAGTTTTCTTTCCTTTCCCTTCTATTTAAAAACATTCTCTTCTCCCATAATATCTCCAGTTCTCCTTGAGTCATTAAGAAACTGATTCCCAGACTTGCTTAAGACAATTACTTGGGGTTATTTGTCTTAGCTGGCCCTGGGCAATCTGAATAGAGCTTAGCAATAGTGTGAGGTAAAGGGGAATGGTTCTGCAGACTAGAACAATTGATAAAGCATTGATATCTCCACTGTACGTTCTAGGGGCAGAATTTGCTTGGGGCCATGATCTTGTCATGGGTACTGAACACTTGGAAGTGTTGAGAGTGCATCTTTTGATTTAATTTGCTCCTAAGAGGCTTTGCATTTTGCTTCGTGATGTGAACGAAGATAATAACTAAAGAGCAGTTGGAAGATCTGCTTCAAAAATACATCCTGCTGACCCAAACTAGAAAGGCTAATGGAAAGGTAGTCTGAGTCTGTGAAGTTGCTTTGAAATTATTGTGCAGGACTGTTCAGTTACAATCAGGATTTAACATACATTACTTTTTCTGGTCTTCCTACCTAGATTGCAAGATACTAATGGCAAATTCATCCAGTGATTCAGACAACTTTCATTCGGGTCGAGCAGGAAGGCGACTGCCTTTGAGAGCATCCTACAAGAGAGCTCAGAACTATGGTGCTGAAGCAGTTACAGAGAAGATCCATACTTTAGCAAGCACTTTACAGGTTGTTTACAAAATACAGTTTTAAAGTGTTTACAGAGTCTGCATTTCTGTAACATAGGGTCAAATTTTCATTTCTAAAGTCGTGGAGTATACTGTATGGATGAGAAACATTGCTTTCTGTGCAAATGAGAAAGGTTTTGGAACATTGATTGTATTGCTTTTGAGCTGAAAGTGTGTAGCTTGTTACATTTTTATACAGTTGTTATTTCAGACAGTAATAGTAATAACAATTTTAATTGTTAGAAACAATTACATGATGGATAATACCTTTATAAAGTTAGCAAACAGGATAAGGCCAAATAAGCTTTTTCAGATTCTCACAAAAGGCATTAAATTTTTAGAAGAAAGTTCCAGCCCTGTCTTAGTTGCCTTGTACTGTGTAAAATTTCCAAATTTCTGATAAAGTAACTATGTAGGCAGTCAATTCCTTCATCTTAGAGCTTACCTTTCAAATATTTTCCAGATGTGGAACAGCGCAATTAGAAGCACTATTTCTAAACTTGTAAGAGATGCATACCTGAGCAAGAAAGAGTGTTCATCTAATTCCTTCTTCTTCAGTGAAGGCAGTGGAGGGAATATCTGAATCTGTTTTGCAAGTGGGAGGAGACACTTGCATTATTGCATTATTGCTTGAGACAGCGTTATTGCTTGAGAAGTCATTCCCATTCTTTTCTAGCTGACAGTTCTGAATACCCAGAGTGGGTGGGCATATGTTTTATCTCTTACTGCTTGGCCAGGAATATTTTTTTCCCCTTTAATATGTGGGAAGAGAAAAATCAGTTAACTTCAGAACTTCTTAGCTGGAAAATAATCATCAATCTAGAAAAAAGATGAGTTAATAAGAATGTTATCTGACTATTTTTAAAAGGGAGTCTTTGGTATTCTCCTGATTCTGTCTGACTTCTTTCTAGGTGCTCTTCTGAAATTCTGATTTTAAGCTAATTGTTTTTAGTTGATTGCTTTTCAGCAGATCTGCCATCTGATCCAGCTGTTCATCTGGTCAGAAAGTGCTCATGTAAGCACCTTACCTAGTGTGTTCATCTTCAAAAACTTGTTATTTCTTGGTTAACTAATTTTGTTCTATAGGCAGGTAAAAGTAAGATCTTTGGCTTAAAAAGGTTTTTCTACAAAATGGTTGAAACTTGAAAAAGTTTTTATTTGAAGCTGAGGCCTTACTGTTGTACCGAAATAATAGTGTGGGTGTTTTGTTTTTTTTCTTCTTCCCTTTAGCCACGCTGTACCACTTAAGACTGTGGTTACTTGAATAGGATTTTGAATGCATAGACCATTTACAAAGCCCTCGTGTTATCAATTTAATCTTAGAAACCAAGAATAATAAAGGCAGTAGTAATGTTTGATTAGAGGTGGTTTCTGTTTTGACTTTTTTCTAAAACTTTTTTATTTAAGGATACCAACAGAAATCTGAGACATGTTGACCATTTGCTAGGACAGTACAGAGAATACAACAAGGAACAAACCGAAGCAATAACAACTGTGAGAAACTTTCAGTTTATCTTAACTTCTTCAGTCTTTTCCATTAATAAAATTCATAGCTTAAAACTTGGCAGTAATGGACAGAATATATAAGGAGTTCAGTAGCTGTAAACAGAACCTTTTCCTATTTATTTGAACGATCAATCTAAATCAAAATATAGTAATGTGTTATAACTGACAGGTTTTGTAGCTTCAGTATTTTTCTGGTTTATAAGTACCCAATAGATTGTTATGTTATGGTACTATGCCAAGTACAAGATGAGTAGCTAAAATAGAGTGTTGGTGGAGCAAGAAAGGTTTAAAACTTGTTTACAAACAAACTGTAGCAGGTTTTTTTTAGCAGTGCTTCCTTGAAACAGACATATATGAAATATAGGAATATTTTACATATGAAGGTAGAGAGAGTGAAGAAGGAAATGTGTAGAGAAGAAGGCTTGTTTTCCTCAGAGAAAGAGATCCAGCATGGTATAATTCTACAAGAGTAAAGCATCAATTTAACCATAATATATAAGCTTCTCTTAGAAAGAGAACCTTCAGAAATTGATATTTTTTGGATTGTCAAATAAAGGTGTGACTAAGCAAGTGGCTAAGAACCAAAGTTAGCAAATGCAATTGTAGAAAATGAGATGCAAGTTTGAAAAATGAAGAACTTGTTTACAACTGCAGTTACTTCTGTATTCTTAAGTTGGGAATGGCTGCCTTTTCCTGGAAGTGAAACTACTAAAAGTATGGATTCCTGTAAAGCTGCTTAGGGAAATTTGATAGCTATATGTAAAACTGATTCCAGGTGTAGGGCTGGTGAAAAATTCCAGTAAAAAATAATTTCTTTGAAGTTATTTTCTGGATTTTGCAGGGCTGTTATTGAGCATTGCTGGCAAATAGGTCTTATTTTGGTTGCAGGAGACAGACTTTTCTTTTGAGTTTTCGTCATGGTTCACTATGTGGTGCACCACAGGTTTAAGAAACTTGATATTTGAAGCTACTAGTCTTGGAAACATGTTTTGCTATAATTATGATATGGAAATATGATATATAAGATGTTGGAGAAAAGTTATTATTAATTCATAGCTGTACTTGGCTTAAAAATAATTTTGATTCTCTTAATGACTTTTAAAATAAATACTATTTTCCAGTTTTTGTAGGAAATGAGTCTGTGTTCATATTTCAATAAATTATAATTTTTCTGCAGTTAAAAGAAACACTGGAACAATCTATAGGTCAATTAAGGAGCCAGCGACTAACACGAAACTCTGGAATGAGAAGTGCATCTCTCTCAAGCTTATATCCTAGTGATCTGGATGGAGAAGGACCATCAGGTAAAATACTTAAACTGCTTGAATATACTTAAATTATGTCACATAGCTGTGGTATAGAAAGAAGAAATTAAGAAGAAAAATGTGTAAGAGATAGGGGCATGAAAAGTCATCATTGATTACTTTAAAGAAATTAATTTTAGAAATTTGGGAGACCTACATTAAGTTACAGAGTTGTTTATTTGGTAAATTCTTCTAGCTTTCTGTTACATAGTATTTTCTGATGATATCTCAAGATATCTAAATGAAACATTGATTCTTTCAGCTGAGAAAATTTGTTGTCCACTGCATGAATTGTAGGTGCATATAAGTTAAAGCTAAGTCCAAAAGATATGGCAGCTTCTGAAGCTTGCTTCACAGCAAAAATGGGAATTTAGGTTTTAAATGCATGAGATTATGGATGTATAGATGAAATTATGTAAAGCTCAGTGAAAAAGGAAAAAACAGAACCAATTTATCACCTACAGAAAAGTAGATTTTTTTTCATTTGCCTCTGAAAATTCATTATATTTTAAGAAAAGGTGTGTTTGGGAGTAGTACTCCTCCCAGAACTAGTGTTTAATGTATTTTAGTAGAGAGCTCTATAACTTTCATTCCTATGTAAAAACTGTGAAGTACAGTAGTTTGAAGCTCTAATAGATTCACGTGGAGTTGCTAGAGCAAATAAAATTTGAGGAAAACTACTTACTCCTTGGAGAAACAAAGGAAACCTCTTTCTGGAATACATGTATGTCATAGGCAAGAAATGTTTAAATTGAAGAAGAATCCTGAGAAGAGCTAAGAGTTGTATGCTTGTGCATATTATTTAATAGGTTTTTTTCTGTAATGTGGCCTATAAAGATATCGGCAAGATGAAACTCGCATTTTTCTTGAAGCAAAATGAAAAATTTCCAGTACAAAGTTTTGTCTTCCTACTTATTTTTTTTATCTCTTATCTCATAAAGGGAACCGCCACTTCCTGCCTACTTCTCCTCTCAGGGATTACGGAGACTCACAGGGCAATAAACATCGAAGGTCTAGATCTGCAAGTGTGCGATTTGTCAATGAGGCAGATAATTGGGACCAGGTACAGAGCATGAATGGGAATTGCTTCCCCAAACAGGCAATCTGTGGTCACCAGATTCTTTGGTTTTACATCAAATGAGGTGATTCTGATGATGCAAATAAGAATGTTTCAGCTATGAAGTGTTTTTTCAATGTTACATGCCACTTTTTATTAGGCAGTCACCTCTTGTATCTGTCGGTGTCATGAAGTGTCACGGGAATTATTATAGAGAAAGAGATGCAGATGGTGGTAATATCAAAAGTAGAATATGACAATCTGTGTATATTTTAGGCCATCTATGAGAAAGAAAAATAATCTCTGGATAGCCTGTTTGGTCTGGAGAAGAAAAGACTGAGAAGGAATCTCATTAATGCATACAAATATCTCAAAGGCCAGTGCCAAGAGGGTGGTGCCAGACTATTTTCAGTAGTGTCCAGTGACAGCACAAAGAACAATGGCCATAAACTCAAACACAAGAAATTTCACCCAAACATGAGGAAGAACTTTACACTGAGGTTTGCAGAGCACTGGAACAGGCTGCCCATGGAGGCTATGGAGATTTCCTCTCTAGAGACATTAAAAACCCACCTGGATGAGTTCCTGTGTAACCTGTTCCAGGTGATCCTGCCTTGGCAGAGGTGTTGGACTGGATGATCTCCAGAGGTCCCTTCCAACCCTAACGATTCTGTGATGAACATTCACCTACCTACATGCTGGAGTATGATGTGGTTGTAAAGCAGATTGTTCTGTTTTAGTTAATGGCACAGAGTCTTAGTGCTTTTGCTGCTTACTTCAATGTAGCTTGGATTGATTTTGAGCCAGGTAGTTCTTCATCTTAGTTCTAGGTCTGACCTGTGAATGGGATAATTTGACCCTGTACTTCAGGCAGATGGTGGAGGAGAGGATGTGTACACACATTGGTAATTTTCATATTTCATACATACTTCAACTTGTGTCTGCTTGCAGACTTCAGAAAAAATAAATCAATTACTTTAATGGCTAAGATCATAGTCTTTCTATATCCGACAGGTAGAGCGGAGATTTCACTACCTGTTTTTACTCTTTCAGACAGGGTGGATAGACTTTCTTGAGTGAATTTCCTCTTTATCGACTAATTTGTCCAGGAGAAATTGATTATGACTAGTACTAAAGAAACTGATTGTAAGGTTGACTTTATTAAATCAGTATCAACTTCCAAATAATTTTAACTTGACTACCACACATTTTCTCAATTGACTTTTTTTTTTGGGAAGCTACAGTAATTCCTAGGCTTTTATTTCACTCTGTTTCATGCTCCTTTCAGTCTAGTTTTCCTCTGATTCCTTCTTCCTCCAAGGTTGGTGTGTAATCTAATCTACTCCTTGGAAGGAAATAATGTTATATGGAAATCCTTCCTCCTAAGCTTCTAAAAACTTTAATACTATTTTAGGTTATTTCTATATATTCCATAAATATCTTAGAAATTTTATTAAGGGAGTTCTTGCAATGCAGGCAAACTCCCTCATTTTTATGAAGTAACTATGTAAGCAAGTAGGTTTTTTTCCCCGTTTTGATAACTGCTGGTTTATTCCTTACTCTTTTCAGTGAGTGAATATGGCTTTATGCTGTCATTAGCTGTTTTGTAAGAAGCATATAGTGTCGTGGGGAATCATGAACTAGAGGTAGTAATTGATCATATAAGGAACAGAAATTAGGACACAGATGAATTAATACTGCTTAACTGAAGTTGTGGCTTCTTTTTTTTTTCTCTAACTGTGGTTCCCCTTTATTTCCATTCTGACTCCTTCTAGCTGAGGTAATTTTGAAAATGTGCTATGTTTTTTCAAAGTCTCCCAGGTCAGGTTGAAATTTTTGGTTTGTCACACAGGGGAGGTAGTAGAGCCTGTGTCTGAATGTTCATGGTGGGCAGCTGGATTGTGGAAGATCTGGGTTTAAATCTTAGGCATAGAACAAAGGGATATTATAAATCAGGGTTTTGCATAACAATGATCCCTTAAAACTTTGACTATAAATTGGGGGCCTGCTGAATGAGGGAAATGGGAAGTTTTACAGAGGAAAATAGGCTTGTGTTTTGGGGTGTTTTTTTTTTTTTTCCCCCAGCTCTGAAAAAAAGGGTATATAAAGTCTTGGGCAAGGTAAAATACCTATTTTTGGTGTTTTGATAGTTTCTGACTACATCATAGTGTTCTACTTTTTCACTTTCAATTTCTTATGTCATCTATTTATGGTAACATATATAGCTGGGCAGAAGTTTGTTTCACCTATACTAGCATTTATTAGCATGAAATGTGTTTCTCCTGACTTCACCTGTTCAGATCTTTCTACTTGCTTTTCACTAGGTTTAAAAGTAGGTGCAGTTTCCAAGATCTGAACCACAGGAAAAAAACAAAGTTATGAGACTTGGTTTAGCAAATAAGTTACTGAAAGTTAAACTTCAATGAGCATGTGTTGTGAAGGGTTGAAAATGAAGTATGCAAACCTCATCCAGGCTCAGCTACAATTAATGGAATTTTATTATTTTGTAGTTTATTTTTATCTGTTTTATTTAAAAAATATATGTTTATATATATAAATATATATATATGCATCTATATGTATATATATGCAGATATTTTGGAATATCACAGGAAAAGAGGGTTCGTAAGCCTTGGATTAATTTGTGTATTTTAATTTACAGCTGCATTCTTTCCACCAGTCTCTTCGAGATCTCAGCAGTGAACAAGTTCGCTTAGGAGATGACATCAGTCGGGAGCTTTCAAGGAGAAATCGGTATAAACAGAATATAACTCCTTGTGAAGGATGGTGTGGAAAATAATTCTTAAACTCTTCTTTATTTCAAAAAATCATTTTGGGGAGAGTGAGGGATTGCACAACGTGTAGATGAAAGCAATATTGTCAACTGCTTAATTTATGTCACTTTTTGCAGTATTTAGAAGTGTAAATATCACCTGTCAGTTCCAGTTTGTATAGTATATGTTGATTTTCTCACCTTTTTTAATATATGGAGAGCTCAACTGGGACTTGGGAATTTATTTTATTACAGCTTTGCTCATTTGTTCTTGGTCCTGGAGTCCCTTAAGGGCAAGCTCTCGTGCAACCCATAAAGTACATACTTTCTCAACATATGGTGCTTTACTGAATAGGAATAATAGGAATTAGACTGATAATTCCTAGTAGGAAACTACTGTTCAGAAGGACTGTGTAGATGTGTCCATAATTTTGTGCTTGTTGACCTGATACCTAGCTGATACCTAGATGCACTGTTGTTTCACTTGAGGAATGGAAATGCTTTTTATCATGAATTTTCCACTTGAGGCTTGTCTCTAATTTTACTAGGAATTTAGAGGCTGTAGAACAAACTGAAGTAGCATAAAATTCCAGGAGGTTGTTGTTGCTTAAAACTATCATGGTTATTTAGTTTTTGCCCTGTAGAATATTGTTTTACTTATACTTTTCTATGAAGGACTGATGCTGAATTAAGAAAGACTCTAGAAGAATTGTCTGAAAAGCTCACTGAGTCCCAAAGACAAGAAACGGTGAGTGTGACTAATGTGAAAAGATTATTTGGTGTTCTAAGCAGGATGTGGGCTTCTAGTTTCATGTGTGTGTTGGTCATTGGTATCACATATTGATATGTATATCTGAACATGATCTTATTTAGTCTACTATAGGTTGTTGCAATATTACCTTTCCATAATGAAATCAGCAAGACAAGTTTTATATTTCAGGTACTTGTTTCAGTTAAAAGTGGGTGTATGTTGTGGATTTTTATGTTTCAAAATTCACAGCCTTGGAGAGAGCTGCTTTTTAACTTTGAACTTTGGTTTGAAAGGTATTATACTTATTGAAGCTACCTTTGGAAAGATACAAGTTTTCCCATGTTATGATGATAAATACTATTGTTTCTTCTTCCTGCCTACCTCTCTCCCCATCCTTTTCAATCCTTACCATCTGTGCAGCAAAATGGAAGGAGTCTGTTTGGGCTGCACTCTTCTGAAGGCTTTGTGACAAAATGTAACAATGGAGGCAGGATGGCCGTGACAGTCTTCTTTTTTGTCTCCTGTATCTGCTGGAAGCAGACTAACTGCAGGTTATATTACTTAAGTGTGAAAGAGATCTGCTGTTGAGATGGAAGTCGAACAGCATATTGCTCTAGGAACAAGAGAGGTTGAGAATCTCCCCAGTGATTAGTAGGTGAGAATCTTGTAGGTAGTTCTTGACACATAAGACTTGAGTGTATGCTTTATGTAAGTATTTATTGTGGTATCAGTAGCAATGCAGAATTTTCAGAAAAAAGTGTTGTGTGTCCTTATTTTCCCACTGGTGATTCATCTTGCCCTAAAATAGCATGAGTTGGTACTAAATGCTCAGTCAAGGGCTTTAATGATATGTTTGTCACTGATAACAATATTGTTGCCACCAACCACTTGCTGATACCAGCAGACTTAATAAATGTACTTGTATAAATTCCTAGCTCTAGATTAAGTTGGACAGTGATTCAAGAGACTCTATCTGTACCAGTTATATTCTTGATGTGATAGAGTCCATCAGGGAAAGAAGGCTTACCTTGTCAGCCTTTGTAGCAAAATATAATGGGTTGTCTTTGTTAAAATGTTAGTTTTACTTTCTCCTAATAGTCTGGTAGGATAAAGTAAGTTTATCTGATAAAGAACTCTTGATACTTGTAAAATTCTTTTTTTTTTCTTGTTGCATCCTTTTTTTTTTTTTTTTTTCTCTTTCATGTACCAGGAAATTAGCAAACTCAATAAGCTTTAACTAAGGTGGTTCTCAAGAAAATAGCTGCTCCAACTTGCTATGCTGCAGCTGTTCAGTGCCTTTGAATGAGAGGAACAAACCCTCCTCAATTCTCTGGAATGCAGGCATCCATTGTCTTTTTATTAATAAAAGAAAAAACTAGCTCTTTGACCTCCTATAGTAGGACTCCAAGATGTGAAATTGAATGTTACAGTTTTGACCTAAGAGAAGCAAAAAATGAGTGATGTGAAATATAACAAGGAAGTCTTCTGTAGTTTGCCAATGGTAAGGGCAATACCAGAAGACTAAGTCTCTTAGGTGGGAGGGAAAAATATCCTCCAATAATGAGCTAGAAAAATTGAAATGTTTACTGATACTCTTTTAGTGAAGAGAAATGCTGCAGTAAGCTGCAGTACTATGGTTTGCATGTGTAGGACTAGTAAGAATTCAGCTGGAATATTCTGCTCATTGATGCTTATTAAATTTATGAAGAACATTGACCAAATGGAAAGAGGAGAAGGAAATAAAAAATGGGAAAAATAAAAAAGGCCACTCATTTGAAGACTTCCTTGAAAAGATAAAACAATTTCTGGGGTTCAGTTTGCAGGAGAAATATGTAGTTAGGAAAGATCTAGCCATGTATGTTGAATAGTCAAAAAGCAGAAGTTTTGTGAACAATATTAGAATAGAAGGACCTCTAACAATAATTCTGCACAGTACTAGTCTAATCATGTGTGAAGTAGGAGCTTCTTGGTCTGGAATTGATCTGTGTACTTTCTGTACTGAGTAATCCCTCTGTGGATTTCTTTTTTGGAACTTGTCTTTGTTATAACTTGCTTATTTTTATCATCTTGTCCTATAGCAAAGGGTTCTCCAAATAGATTATGTATTGTAAGAAGAACTGCTGTTTTCCTTCCTAATTTTTATTGAAGGAGGTTGTTCAGTTTCTTCAGTCACTAATTCAGAATTTATTTTTATTGGAATTTATGATTCTTAGAGCCTTTTTAATGCTGAATTTGAATACTTTAGGACCCACAACACAGTGAATGCATATCACCTTTAAAGAGAGCTTTTCCACCCAATATAAAAACCAGAGGACATCTAGGGTGGTGACACAGGCATATTTGGATGCCTGTTTCATGTCAAGCACTCTTCATGGCCTTGTACTTGAGAGTCTATGTTCAGCTTTAGTATAAAGACTTGCAGGTTCTATAACTCTCTCTATTAAAATCTCTTTCTTAACAAGACATTTTGTGAGATTTCTTTTTTCTTCAAAAGGATTTGAAAGTTTGCTGGAGGAACGCCCATAAGCAATGAGATAAATACTTAATTTATGGTTATATAAGATAGCCCTCTTGGATATTTTGTTGTAATCTCTCGGATAGAAGCACATCCCAAATAACACAAGATGCTGATCTTTATACATAAATGTTCAAATTAAGTAGATGCTTACTTGAGATGATGCCATTAGAAAGTAGTTGTAGGTTGTGTTTCTGGAAAAAGACAGCAATGTCAAGTGAAAAGGGACTTACATGGAGTTAGTGTGGTTTCAATATCTCAGAAAGCAAGGATTATTGTCAGATAAGGAACTGTCCTTCAGAAGATCTGATATAAGGATTTTTGGTACTGCACGGGTGACTTGTAAAAGGTGTAACACACATTAGCATTTATCATGAGGGAAGAGTTTAACATTATTTAAAGTGATATCAGTGAAAAAAAAATTTACTGTTTTTGTGAGTTTAATACTCCTGTTTTAAGTATGCATTGATGATAAAGTGAGTCATACAAGAAAGGCAGCAAAAATCTGTTGAAACAGGTTTCAATTAGCAGGACTTGTGAAAAACAGGAGAGAAATTCAAGAAGTGGGATGCCCCTTGTTGAAAAGTAAGCATCCAGCATCTGCCACAAGATTATATTTAGCTGCATGGCTTAAATGTCACCCTTGTTTTAGAAAGGGCACTCTATTCTTTGTGTTTAATTGCAGAGAAGCAGGGGGAACTTTTTGATAGCCTAATCCATTTTCATAGATTTTGCTGCTACCTGAAAGCTTTATGTGGAGACGTAGCTCTAGTCATCATCATCATTCAGATGGTCTGTGTTGCTAAAAATGCACGCTTGAAATCACATTCTAGTATGTCTGAATGCAGTAATTTACTGCTGGTATTTCATGTCATTTTATGGAGCCTCCATATTCTTTGTACTGTTCTTCACCGAATCACTTGTCTACACTAAGCTTTTTTATAAGATTCAGAGGTCAAGATACATACTTTTGTGGTAGGAATCTTGTCCTGAGTTAGAGTTATTTGGGACAAAGGAAGCAAGCGAGTTTTAGAGTTTGCTCTGCATGTACTAATTAATGAGTTAACACTTAACTGTTTCTAATTTTTCTCATTTTAATCCCTGTTGTTGTATGTTACAGCCTCTGTGACAAACTGAGGAAGGTCAGAGAGGCTACAAAAACAGGGAACATAATTTTTGTGGGATGTAACACCTTGCTAAAGTGCCCATATACTCATGCACGGTGTGGGAAACAAATAGATTTAGAAATTTGTGTGCAGTCGCAAGTCTTGAATGTCTTCGAAGTTACAGAGCTGCATGATTGAAATGTTGTCAGGAATAGCTAAGTGCTTTTGGGAAAGACAGACCAGAAAGGCAAGGTGATGGAGTAGCCCATTATGTAAGAGAACAGATGGAATTTGTGGAGCTGTGCCTTAGGGGGGATGATGAGCGAGTTGAGGGTGTATGGGTTATTATAAAAGGGCAGATTAGCAAGGAATGATACTGTTGTGGATGTTTGTTACAGACTGCCTGATCAAGAGGAGATAGTAGATTGGACCTTTTAGAGAGAGCTGGAAGTAGCCTCAGAATCACTGGCCCTGGTTCTCATAGGAGACTTCAACCACACTGACATATGCTAGAGGAACAGCACAGCAAGGCTCAGACAATCCAGGATGTTCTTGGAAAAAATTTATGATAACTTTGTGATGCAGGTGATGGAGGAACCAGCATGGAAAGGTGTGCTGCTGGACATTATGCTAACAAACAAAGAAGGTCTGGTTGGAGATGTGAAGGTTGGGGGCAGCCTTGGCTACCATGAGATTGTGGAGTTCAGTCCTCACTGCCAAGGCCAGCCCTCTGGAATCCTTGACTCAGGAGATGAAGGAGAAGGTCCAGAGAAAGGAAGACTTTGTCTTGGTCAATGAGAACCAGTCAAACTTGACCTCAGCAAATCTGTGGGCCGTGAAGGGATGAACGTCCATGCACTCACATGTGCACTCTTGCACTCCTATGAGAGCAGAGGGAACTGGCTGACATCGTTGCTGGACCACTCTCAGTCATCTTTAGGAGGTCATGGCAATCAAGAGTTGATGCCTCAGGACTGGACGAAAGTCACTGACACTTCAGTCTTCACAAAGGGCAGAAAGGAGGACCTAAGGAACTGCAGCTTCACCTCAGTCCCTGGAAAGGTCATGGAACAGCTCATCTAAGCATGTGGAAGATGAGAAGAGTTTCAATGTAGTCAACATGGATTCCACCAAAAGGAAATCTGCTTAACAAACGCATTTGCCTTCTGCAGTGGGACGATCCAATGGGATAATCCCCAATGGATGAGGGGAGAGCAGTGGATATTGTCTACCCTGGACTTCAGCAAGGCTTTTGACACTGTCTCTCCTGATATTTCTCAGGGAGACCAAAGCAATTTGTCTGATCCCTGACACAGTGTTCCAAGAAAGTAGGTTCTTGTTTAACACGTTTTTAACAATGATATTTGCCAGCAAGTTAAACTACAAGTTAATGACCAGCAATGGGGATGTAAGATTTTTGTTATATTTGCAGATGAACTTCAGGTGTGTTGGGAAACAGAACTGAAATCCAGAATCCAGTCTTGGATATGACTTACAGGATAAAGCTTAATAGCTGTAAAATTCAACAAGGAAGACTAAAATTGTGCTTTAAGAAGAACAGGTAATTTTAGAGGCAAGGGAATCAAAGTTGTTAAGATTTCTGTGAATGTTTTTGAGCAGGTTATATAGACTTGTAGAAGAATGATATAGGTATAAAAAGTCATGTGTTGAACCAGGCAGCAAGTTTGCTAGCCTTTGAAGACCCTCCCAGCCTCTTCTTTCTGTGCTGTCTGCACAGAGAATATAAGCTAACAGTATACTAGGTATACTAACTATAATTTCTTAATAGAAGGGGATTTTTTTCCCAATAAGTGGTATCAAGATGTTTGGTGGTTTGTTTTGGTTGCAGGGTTTGGTTTTTTGTTTGTTTGTTTGTTTGTTTGTTTTCCGGTTAAAGAGGATTATAGCTGTAATGCTGAAATTTCCATGCATCTGACAAATATGATATATAATACATATTTTTCAGTATCTTGTTAGAAATAATACAACGATTTTATTCTGGAATTAATTGAAGGAAGTCAAAAGCAAGACAAATCACTTGATAAAGTTGCTTTCTTGCTGTTAGTGAGAATTTGCAATGAAATATGAAGTTTGCAGAATTTGCTGTGAGCTAGACCCGTGACAGTGAGGAAGGTACTGAACTCTCCTTTTGAGCGTCATCTTTGGGGTGATGTTACTTTTGAATTTTTTGTCAAGTCAAAATTAGACATTTTCTTCCTTGATATATTTATTGTTTGCTTGCTTAACTTCCCTTGAAAAAGATGCATGAGAGAGCTGAGAAAACTCCTGCCTTCAGAAACACGTAGCCAAAATTTAAAAAAAGATGTAGAAACATTACTGTTTCATTTCTTTATTTTAGGTGTACATAGGGAAAAGGATGACAGCTTATTTCCTGGTTTTTGGCAAAGATACAAGTTTACTGACAGTGTTGTTTTCTGTTGCTATTACATACTAACATTGTTTCTGATAGCTGGAGTATTTTGTGACTTATTAAAAGTAACCTCAAGTAGTACTTGTCAAAACAAGCGTTATGATGTGGTCTTTATTTTTTATACGTTAGTTTTTATTCTGGATTATGACTGCAGAGCTTTCATAATGTACATGAAGGAGTGTGGTTTGATGCAGTACATTTCTAATGCATCTCCTGATGGTTTTAGGAAAAATACAACATTCCAAACTGAGCTGACTATTTGTCTGACTGCAAACAAGAAATGTTTTCCAAAGGATGTATTCTGTTGTAAACCTTGTGAAGCCCAGAATATGTGTAACCTTAGTTATGTTTCTGTTGCTGCACATGCGTGTTGCTCAAGTTAAAATTTTCTATGTACACATATGCCTAGTGCTACTAGAATTGTCCTGAACAGAGCAGGATGAGAACTTGTTCCCCTCCATGTGCATCAGAAAGTAGTAGTTGAATGGTGTTTTTTTTTTGTCTTTCTCTTTTTATCTTAATACCATTTGGTAATAGATATATTGTTTTCTAGTGGTTGTTTAAAATAATGAGTTTTAGGGTAGGGAGGAAATGATACATAAATATTTTTCTTGCTAATTTTTAACAAAATAAATTTAATTTGCTGCCTCAAGAGGGTGCTGTCTGCTAGCAGTTTAAATTGCAAAAATGAAGTAATTCTGGTTATTGTAGTTTAAGATTGAGCTATTGTGTTCATAATCCCAATTTTTTTAATAAATATCTACTGTTATTTGCATTAATTTCTACATGGATTCCTAAAA